CTCTCTGAGGGTTTGTTTAAAATAATTTATCAAGCAGGTACTCCCAGGAGAAGCAAGGAAGTAGGGAAGCAGGAGAGAGGAAAGAAGTAAAGCAAATAAGGATACAATTTCAGGAAAAGTTCTGGGTTTCCAGTGGGTATTATTTATATACTCATAATAGTATCAGTATTTATTTTCATATTTTAAAAATAACACAAAAAATCAGCATACAGAATTTTTAAAATTTAGAGCTAACTACAGAATGCAGTGTCAAGGTACAGGTGACTGAAATGAAGAGGCAAATTTTGGCAAGAGAATTGAAAAGAAATGGAGGCATGTAGAGTAGATATCTCATCCTCATAGATAAAATAGGGGGTCATAAAATATTTTCCATAACTAATTCAGATTAAATTAATTGAAAGAAAATGTATATTACATTAAGTTTCACAGTATACAAAACAGAAAATGAAAATATAATCATATTAAAGGAAGGCAATAGGGGAAGATGTGTGTGTATTTATGTGAATGGCAGAGGTATGCCAGATGTCAATAGAAGAAAGTATAAATTCTGCATCAATAAAGAATGGTAGAAGCTGTTGAAGTGCAAGTTTTAAACTCTAAGTTATCTAATTCAGTCTTGATTAAAATTAAATTTAAATAAGATTACTTATATTATCCATAGAAGAAAACTTGAAAGATTAAGAAACTGAAGTTTTCAGTAACACAGGATTTTGAGATAACAGTGAACTGAGCTAGGTATTAATATCATATCTTGCTATGCATAAGACACAAATAAAAGGCTGAAGGAAATATGTACGACTGTGAAAGAAATCAAAAATATTTTCTTCATTGGGTAACATTTATATTTATTTTCTATTTTGCTAGAATAAATTGAATAGCTTATTTGCAATAACCTTATCTGAGAGATTCCACTTTCACTGTACTTATTAATTACTCTATAAATTTTGTAGTATCATGACATTCCATGGCCTATTAGCAATGAGCAATTATTAGTTTTTATTCTGTCTTTGTAATAGAATGTTGATTAAAAATTTGTTTTTTCTCTTTCTTTTTTTTTTTATCCTCAAGCCTTGAAGGGAAAAAATTTGTTTTTTGACATTTAGAAAATTTAATATTATTGATCTTACCTTGTAACAATAAGTTCAAAAATAAAATCTGTACAGATCCTTTGAGGTATGGAAAAACCACTAATTGTATTTTTGCATCAATTGTATTCAACTTAAGCAAAAAGGGAAAACTGTAGGAACACAGATATAAATTCTAAATTTTTCTTTAGTAAAGCATTTTATTTTCAGATACA